TTCTCTAACTTTTGTCCTCACTTACCAATCTGACAGGTGCCCGACTTCTCTTTTGCTACCCAATTCCCAAGGCCAACAGCTTCCGATTATGGAATCGGGCCTCTATATCCATGATGAATCTCTCCTTCCCCTTCATTTAAGGCTTTGCCTGAGGACAAACATTGGTGGTTGACTCCCTTGGTCTGGCAAAGTAAAAAAAAAGTGGCTTTGCTTTTCCTCTTTTGGGTGGTCCATATTTCTATGGCATAAATCAGGGAAACACTATGGTCCATTTACACACTGACTACTCTTTTCAACTCTTAGTAGCTATCATTGTGATGGGCAAAGCACATTCATTTAGAAACCACAAGGTCAAGCGGAGAGGTGGGCTTGAGTTCGATGCCCAGAACCCACACAAAAAAGCTGGATGTGTTAGCGTACAGCTGTCATGTAAGCGCCGAGGAGACAGAGGATCCATGGGTCTCCTTGTTGACCCCCAGGTCAGTGAGAGACCTTGTCTGAAAAAGGATGGAGCAGGGCTGGAGAGAGAGCTCAGGGAGCAGTAAAATGCCTCCTGTGCAGACACAAGGACCCGAGTTCATATCTCTAGAACTCATGTAAAAGGGGGCATGCTGGGAGTTCATATCTCCAGAACTCATGTAAAAGGGGGGCATGCTGGGATGTACCTAGCACCCAAGTGCTGGCTGGGATGAGGGAGGTAGAGATAAGGGGATCTCGGAAGCTCATGGGGCAGCTAGCCTAGTCAAACCTAAGAACTTCAGGTTCAGTAAAAGACGCTGCCACAAAAGGCAAGCTGTTTGAGAAAAGACTGGGAGTCTGCTGCTGGTCTCCACACACGTGGGCACACATGTAAACCCTCCTGCACACATGCACATGCCTCAAAGTACATTCCACACGCACACACACAGACAAACAAAAAGGTCTGACCTCTGAGGTTATCTTCTGTATGAATACATATCTGGGCACATGGATGGACATGAGCGTGCTCGAGTGCACATACACACACACACACATTAAAGAATGTACAATGCCTATTATGTAGGTTCTCCTGCAGTGAGTGCAATAACCCCACTTCATTCACGAAGTGTACCAATAAGCGAGAGCTTAAGGAAACAAGCGATTCAAAAGCTAGCTGCAAAGTGGCACGCACAGCGCCCCCTTCAGGTTGCTCACGCAGTAGTAAGTATGGGGTGGCAGGGAGAGCGAGCTCTGGGGACCATCTGCTGAGATCTGGACCCTGTCCCACCACTTGTTGATTTGGATCTTGAGCGAGCTTGTTCTACTGCTCACTGAGCCTCAGTTTCCTCTGCTGAGGAATCTAAGAGCCTACATCAGGACTATTGTGGTCATTACATTAGATAATATGGTAAAGAATATAGACTTAAGTGATTCTAATACTGGGAAAGCTGCAGTTATATGTGTGTGTGTATACACACACAGACACAGACACACACACACACACACACATATATATATGTAGAGAACAACCCAGGAGAGCTCACAAAAGCAACTTTCTCTGTGACACATTCATACATTAATTCAGTTATTATTATTATTTGTTGTTATTGTTTGAGACAGGGTTTTACTGTGTAGCTGTGGCTGTCTTGGAACTCTGTAGACCAGGCTGGCCTCAAACTCACAGAGATCCACCTGCTTCTGCCTCCTGAGTGCTGGAATTAAACACGTTCACCGCCACCACCCAACTCAATTCAATTACTCTTACAAGTACATGTTAGCGTTATGTCAGATGAACAAAACTTTCGGTGGAGAAAGAACCCCTTGCATATCCAAAGCACAGCGAACGCTGCTGTGATCGTGTTAAACTGCAAAGGGCAGGCTGCGTGACAGGAATCCTGTCCATCAGGACGAGGGATTTCTAGAAAAGGAGCGGTGTGGTTGAGCTCAGCTTGGAATCAAGCAAAAAGGTTAGAGAAAGGCCCATGGGAGTGGCTATTCAGGGGATCTGGACCCTGGCTCCATGCTGTCTAGAAGGTGCCCTCTCTTATCGCTACACCCCTTCAGTCCCTGCAGCCTGAGTCCTCAGGGGCCTGAGGGACAGAGGCAGACTCCACAGGAGATAAGAGGCTGTCACACTGGCTTCCACTCCCCCTCTCATTCCATTCCCACTGCCTTGCATTTCTCTGTGAGGATGTGCTGCTCTTCAAGTGAGCCAGCCCAGGCAGAGACAAGATGTTTGGAAAGTTCCTGCACCCCCCCCCAACGCAGAAGCAGCCAGGAATTCCTAAATGGCATGCTAAAAATTTCTCTTAACCCCATGTCTTTAGGCTTAGTCGCCCTACACAGGAGAACAGATCTTACCCCTTAGTGTTCTCTTTATGGTGCTAAGTCCCCCACAAAAGCTCCTACAGATACAAGGTGGGGACATTGAAAACATTCAGAAGCAAAACCAGGACCAGGACCAGGCTGCTGGGCATTCAACTAGTGAGTTCAGTGGCTGCAAGAGGCTCAGGTCTGGTCCTGGCTTTCAAAGGCTGTCTAGATTTGAGGTGGGGACTTCTGGAATCGGTAACGGTGGGACATTGAGAAACACAGGCACTTGTCAAATCCCCGACCATGTGAAATCTGCCTGTCATAATGGAGTTAGGGGTCTGTGTTGCACATGCCCCTTTTCCAAGAGACCTTATTTTCGTTTGATTGTAAGCAACGAGACTTAGAGAGTTGTTCAGAAGCAGGCCAGTCTCTCAGGAAAACTATCTATAGCCATGAAGCCAAAACAGGACCCTGGGCTTCATTCAGGCACTGGGATAGTGAATTTTCTATAGAGAGTTGGAGGGTAATGCTGTGTGAGAAAGACTGTATTCCAGTGTCTGGGTTGGCTCACCTTAGAAGGCTTGACTAGAAGCAAAATAACCATGTCCATGATGTCGAGTCTCCTGGGTCTCTAGCCTGCTACCCACATGCCATGCTTAGACATGGGAGCCTCTAGCTTCTAGAATTACATACGTCCATTCCTCTCAGGAAACATATACTATTAGTTCCATTTGTCTGCATAATTTCAATATAGATCTTTTATTTTTTTCTGTCTGCCCTCTGTAACCCAACATGTCTCCATCTGGAATTCTGAAAAGCCTTGCCAAGCAAGCTTTCCGTCCCCCTAACTTTCTAAATATAGTTCTAGTATTTAGCGTCAGAGGAAGTCAGGCATCCAGTAGTTTAGTGCATTATTCTCTTTCCACTGGGGGGGCCGATGAGGTGAGAGCCAAGCCAATAACAATTATGAAGGCTGTGTGGAGACAGCGGGGCATTTGAAATTTCAGTGATGGGGAGGGGGACTGCACATGTGCGCACAGCTCTAACTGTGTGAGATGTGTGAGCTCTAGGAGATCTATAGAGCCAGGCGATAAGATGGAAACACACCCCCCAAAAAAATCGGGCGTTGGTGGCGCACGCCTTTAATCCCAGCACTCGGGAGGCAGAGGCAGGCGGATCTCTGTGAGTTCGAGGCCAGCCTGGTCTACAAAGTGAGTTCCAGGACAGCCTCCAAAGCTACAGAGAAACCCTGTCTCGAAAAACCAAAAAAAAAAAAAAAAAAAAAAAAAGATGGAAACACACATGATAACAAGAGTACTTACTCCTTCATGTCACAGTTGCACACTGAATGCCTACTGTGTGCTGCGCACAGTTCTTTTTTTTTTTTTTTTTGGTTTTTCGAGACAGGGTTTCTCTGTGGTTTTGGAGGCTGTCCTGGAACTCACTTTGTAGACCAGGCTGGCCTCGAACTCACAGAGATCCACCTGCCTCTGCTTCCCGAGTGCTGGGATTAAAGGCGTGCGCCACCAACGCCCGGCTCTGCGCACAGTTCTAATCACCTCGAAGCTACGGTTGTCAGATTAGGTTTCCTTCTTAAAGTCCTGCTGGCTACCCACCAGGATAGCTCCGATCAATAAAACGGGCAATAATCAACACTGACAAGGATGTAAGAACCCTGAATGCTCACGTGTTGAGAGGTAGGAACAAAAACATCACACACAGTCTTTGGAAAATGGCTCGGCAGTTTCTCAGAGGGCTGAGCACAGAGTGACTGCGTGACGTACTGAAGAGTTCTGGGCCCAGCTCATTGTGGTATTAGCTAGTGGCACCAGCATTATTATAAGATATGCAACAGATCATCTGGAAGAATCCACAAGATCAATTACTGATGGGGGAAGTCCTTCTGTGTATATGTTGTCCTATTGGTTGATTAATAAAGCATGGTTGGCCAATAGGGAAGCAAGATAGGTGGGACTAGGAGTTGAAGAGGAGTTTGGGAAATGTAGTCAAGAGCAGAGTTGCCATGTGATCCCAGGGAAGAGAGGACAGGTCAGGATGTCGTCCTCAGAAAGATAAGTCCTTATAGAAATATATATTAGTAGTCATGGGTTAATACTTTTTTATTTTTATTTTTTTTGGTTTTTCGAGACAGGGTTTCTCTGTAGCTTTGGAGGCTGTCCTGGAACTCACTTTGTAGACCAGGCTGGCCTCGAACTCACAGAGATCCGCCTGCCTCTGCCTCCCAAGTGCTGGGATTAAAGGCGTGCGTCACTAACGCCCGGCTCATGGGTTAATACTTAAGATAGAACTAGCCAATGAGAATCCCTGGATGTTGGCCGACAGCATTGTAATTAATAGAGTTTCTGTGTGTTATTTGGGGTTGACACGGCACTGGGACCAAGTTATGGGAATACACGATACAAATTACCATTGACAGCCGGGCGTTGGTGGCGCACGCCTTTAATCCCAGCACTCGGGAGGCAGAGGCAGGCGGATCTATGAGTTCGAGGCCAGCCTGGTCTACAAGAGCTAGTTCCAGGACAGCCTTCAAAGCCACAGAGAAACCCTGTCTCGAAAAACCAAAAAAAAAAAAAAAAAAAAAAAAAACAACAACAACAAAAAAACCCACAAATTACCATTGACAGTTATCCCAAGAGGCACCATGTACAGTCCCAGTGTTTCATCTATGCCCCAAACAACTGGACACATAGAAAATCATACATGAATGCTTAAATCAGTGTTATTTGTAATAGCCAAAAAGTCCATCAGTTGACATACGAATGAACAAACTATTAGTTGCCTACAGTAGAATATAATTCAGCCATTAAAAGGGCTAAGCATTAGTCCATGCTACCACCTAGATAAACTCTGAAAATATTCTACGATAGAAAGGGAGCTAAACCCAAAATACAGGTAGACTATCATTTTGTTTATACAATCAAGAGACAGAAAGTAACTTTGTAATTGCTTGAAGCAGGAAAAAAGGGGGAGGGGGAGAGTTGGGGGTGGGTAGAAATGGCTGCTGCTGGGTACTCTTCTTGGGGAAGCAGGAAGATGCTCTGAGTTTGATGGAGATGATTGCAGGACCCAGTGAGTACATCCACTGAGTTGTCCTCTGTAGAAGGGTGAATTTTATGGTGGTAAATTACACGGCAATAAAGCGGTTATTAAACATTACCTAATGCTGTTGTCATGTTGCCTTTGTAAATAAAATGTGTGATTAATGTTTTCTTTTCTAGAGGGTCCTCCCTCCCTTTTGCTCAGGGGGTTGTTTCTGGGGTCTTAAAGACCGCACCATGCCTCCAGTTTGCTTCAGGAAGATTCTGAGGAGAATGTCCTGGCAGCTGCTTGGTGCAGATAAGAGACACAGCAGGAAAAGGGGACCCCAGCCACCTCACCCGAGCCACAGTGTGACCTTACTTACTTCAGTTAACCCTGACCAGGTCCGTGAGAAAGCAAACAACTGGAATTGAGGAATTCCTTCATGAGTTAGATTTTCACCACAGAACAGCTGGAGCAGCCACTTAAAGGGGAAAAGACTGACTTCGGCTGGTAGTTTTAGAGATCTCTGTGTATTTCCTGTAGGCCTGTGGTGAGGTAAAAACATCATGACGGAAGGCTGTGTCAAAGGAGAGTTGATCATCTCGTGGTTGGCAAGTGTATAACTACACACCACTGTCGTGAAGTGAGGTTGTTGTGGGGTACCAGAGAAGTCTAGTCAGACACGGGTTTAAGACAATAGAAAGTCTTTGTTAGCTGGCCGTTGACTGCATTGGGTGTTTGGGGATCCCAGTGTAGTCCCCAAGTCTTTCTCAGGGTGAGCTTTTAAGCATAAAAAACATATCCTGGGTTGACATACTTTGTGGTGACACATTATTTATGATTTATTAAAGCTTGCCTGAGGATTCAGAAAGCAAAGTTAGCCTTAAGTTATAGAGATCAGGCAGTGGTGGTACACACCTTTAATCCCAGGGCTACGGGAGAGTGAATCAGAGCTCACACCTTTAATCCCAGGATTTGAGGGGTATAAAAGGTAGAGGCATTTATTACCTGGGGTGCTCTAAAGAGAGCATAGCAGTCTGGGGTTGCAGTCTGGGGTTTGGTGGAGCCAGGATCGCCTTTCATTCTGAGGTAGAGTAAGAGCTAGTGTCTGGCTGCTTTGTTTTTCTGATCTTCAGCTTGAAGCTTGAACCCCAATATCTGTCTCTGGGTCTTTTATTTATTATGCTGCAATACTTCAGTTAGCAGGAAGAGTTAGCCAGAAACAGAACTACCAAAGCCAAAAATAAAGGCCAGGCCACTTAGAGACTTTGTTGGAGCTGTGGACTGTGATACATTACTTCTTTGTTTTCATTTTGGCAGGTGGTGCAGTCTACCTGCTGAGTTTTGTGGCCTGAATGGTACCTCCATCATGGAGTCAGTTGTGCTAAGGTCTGGGGCCTTTTACCCCTTCCCCCTCCAGCTTTCCACTGCCTCCCCAAAATGCCATCAGGTTGTGACTCCATCAGCGGTGTGGCCCATCGATGTCAGAGTCTTCATGGTCAGATCACTCCCTCAAAGTCCCAAGCCTGGACACAACATTGGGAACTCTTACCCTGTGAGCCTTTTGGAGAGGCGTTTTTATACCCAAACCATAACAGCTGCCCAAACCATAACAGCTGGTAAATGAGCACAGTAAACTGAATGCCGAGATTAAGCAAGAATAACCACAGGGATGTTTGTTTTTGAACATCCTGTCTTGGGCCTTATCATTAAATTCTTTTTGACAAGTCAAGAGCAGCCAAGGCATCTGCTGAAAGTCAGGAAGCTATGAAGGCAGAGGGAGGTGCATTGCCTGTGTGCTCCATCGGGAATCTTGGTGACCTGCTGCCTCTGCAAGGCCTGCTCTGATGTGTTTGACTGGAACCTTGCTTTATTATATTTGGGTTTGTACCCCAGGGCATTGTATCCAGTAGATTCCAATGGGTGTGTGGGGAAAAGGCTAGATCCGAACCTAGGAGCCTGGGTCCAAGTCTGGATCTTGCCAGAGGCTTCTGGCCTTCACAATGTGTATGTTAGCAGCTCCGACCTTCCCTTCCCAGCTCCCTGGGATCTTGTCATTACTAGCTCAAGGCTGGCCTGCGCTAAAACAAAACCACCACCACGATGACAGAAACTCAGCAGAAATGCCTCCATCCCGGCGTGTCAGATGCCATCAGTCCCCATTTCTGCAGACGAGGGAAATGGAATTGTGAGTATCTTGTCCAACCTCACCATGGTGTGATAGACCCAGGACTCTGCGGTGGCCTTTTCACTGGAGAGCCTGCTTCCGGTTCAAGCCAATGGTGTCGCTTGTGTAGGGATACAGGCAGGCAGGGGCGCCTCACTACCATCAGTCCAGTAGCTCACCCAGATGCTTATGTTATAGGATCACCCAACAGGCTCACAGTGAGTGTCCCCTGCGTGAACTGTTGCCGGCTCCCAAGCACCTGCGAGGCTACTTCCGTTTAGTCTCCCTGGTTGCGTTCAGCCAGGGTCACGGGCTGAGAAAGGCTACGTTTACTCTGTTCCTCCTGCTGGCTTTTGCCTAATAGTGGTTTTTATTGGATTTGGATGTCCTGTTGAGTGAAAGGGAGTTTTTGTTTCCCTGGGTTCTAGAGGAAAAAAAAAAAGGTCTTATTTGCTTCCTGCCCACCCGGATCTAGATGCGTGACGGACTCTCCCTGTATTTCATTTAGGCTGTTTTTACTGACTACCCCCATAAAGGTCCCTCCCCACGAAGGCTTCCCAACAGCCATCACATTCAGGCCCTCTTCACTTCGCCCTCTCTCTCGAGGTCACCCACTTCTCCCTGACACCGTTTCCAGGGAGGTGTCCCCCTTCCCCCCAGCAGCTCTGTGGGACCCAGTGCACACGCCGAATGCCGCGGGATCCAGCTTAACCACTGGTGGTTGTTTTTTGGGTCGTTCATTTTCCTGCCTGGCACTAATAGCTTTTGCAGACCTCTCCTGGGATGTGGACTATTTTGTATTTGTAACCCATCTTCCCAGAAAAGATCATCGGGTTCCAAGGACCCTGTGATCACTTGTTCTGTTAAGGCAACTGACCAGTTCTAGGCTTCATCCACCACAAAGGGTGGCCAGTAGTATGACCTTGAGGAATGTCCTTGTGACTCGGGAAGTTCCCATAGTCTCCACTGAGGCTGACTATGAAATGATGTGGCATTGGTGTGTGTGTGTCGGGGGTGGGGGGTTGGGGGGTGGGGGTGTTGACTGATTCTGGGGATTGGTCTACCATCATTTAAAAGTAGGATGGAATAATAAGAAGGAAATGCGATTACCAGGGGAACAGGCTAAGAAAAGAGGAAGGAGGGGGAGTATTCAGGCTGAAGGGGAGAAGATTTTGCTCTCCCATGGCAGGGGCTGGCCACCTACCCAAAGCCCACTGTGCCCTGAGAAGTTTCTGGAAATATAATTTGAGCTCCTACTTTGTAACAGGCAATCTTCCACTATTTATCTCTATTCCAAGAATTTTTCTGAGGGAGTTTATTTTTCTTTACTCCGTGTCCTAGCTTGCTTCCTATTGCTGTGATGAAACACCATGGCCAAAGCAACCTGGGGGGAGAAAGGGTTTATTTGGCTTATACTTCCAGGTCAAAGTTCATCGCTGATGGAAGTCAGGGCAGGGACCTGGAGACAGAAACTAAATTAAAGACTATAGAAGAACCATGTTTACTGGCCTGCTCTCCACAGCTTGCACAATAGGTTTTTCTTTCTTTCTTTCTTTTTTCTTTTTGTTTGTTTGTTTGTTTGTTTTTGGAGACAGGGCTTTTCTGTGTAGCCTTGACAGTCCTGTACTCTCTCTGTAGACCAGGCTGGCCTCGACCTCATAGATACCCGCCTGCCTCTACCTCCCCAGTGCTGGGATTAAAAGCATGTGCCACCACTGTCTGTTCAAACCGAGGAACTGAGATATGTATGTATGTATGTATGTATGTATGTATGTATGTATGCATGTATGCATGTATCTTGGAATCAACCACTCAGGGCCACGCTGCCCACAGTGGGCTGGGTCCTCCCAGCCATTCGTTAATGAAGGAAATGCCCCACAGGCTTGCCTAGAGACCAATCTGATGGAGACATTTTCTCAACTGAGGGTCCCTATTCCCAGGTGCCCAGGGCTTGAGTCAAGCTAACAAAAAAACCTACCTAACGTGAACACCTCAGATAGGGAACAATCAACAGACATTAAAAAAAAGTTTCTACTCCAGTCAACTTTGCTCAACCATTGAGTTTGGGGGGCTGCTTAGGAGGATTGTGAGCGACTCAAAAACAGACCCACCAAAATCTCATGAATGGTGACACCCAGAGTGCCTGATTCCACACCTGCCAGGATCCCATGTCACTGAGTTGGGGCAGGAAACAGAGAGTGGCTGAAATTTGGGGGCAGGGAGCAGGGACCTTTCGCCTACTACAAGGCCTGATCTTGTGAGGGTCTCACACATGTAATCACAGCGTCTCCACTTCAAGTTATCAGCCTTGTCAGCCCAGAGAAGAGTGTCCCACAACAGTGGCCCAGAAGGTGGCTACAGAAAGTTGGTCCTGATTTACTTTGTATATTTTTTTTAAGATTACACCAGATTGAATTGTAGATGGTTGTGAGCCACCATGTGGTTGCTGGGAATTGAACTCAAGACCTCTGGAAGAGCAGTCAGTGCTCTTAACCTCTGAGCCACCTCTCCAGCCCCTACTTTGTATATTTTTACCAACACCCCGTGACCCAGATGACTTGGCCAAGGTTACCAGTCAAAAGCCAGGCCTTGGTCTGACTACCTGCAGGCTGACAAGGCCAGTGATCAAGGGAGGGAGACCCCACGCATTCCGTCCTCGGCTTGATCTGGTGGCTTGTTGTCACCTCTGGGATTTCCTCAGCTCTCACCTCTGGGTGCCTGGCCACTTAAGTCTCTTTCAGATGACACTGTAGCATCCCCCGGGGAAGGTAGAGTCTCCACGGCAGGTCTTGATGGGCGAGAATGCCCCAGAAGAGAGAAGAGCAGACGGAGGGTGGCACAGATCAGGGAAGAAAGGGCACAGGAGACGTGAGTCATCCTGGGTGCTTCACCACCAAGGGCCCGCCTGAGGAGGCTGTGGTGTTTGTTTGTTGCCATGGCTCCTCGCCCACCGGCCGTGTTCATTTCCTCTGTGGTACTGTACACTCTGGGCATTCCTTTCAAATATTTGCTGAGTGTTTCCATGGGCTGATGGGCAGTTAAGATTAGGCTCATCCAAACAGAGTGATGTAAACACACCCCGGGGGCAAATTTCACTTTTCTCTTACGTAAAAGTTTACAGGTGGCCATGTGGGAGACACACATCGGCTCCGGGGTGCTGCCGGGGACTCAGGCGCTTGACTGCTTCCTTCTTTCTAGCTGTGGCTTGTTTTCTTAAAGTCCCGTCGTGGTCTGTGGTGACTCCCAAAGGCCTAGGAAGGAGGAAAGAAAGTAGATTGAGGAAGGGCCTTTCCCAGCTAGTAGCTTCTTTCGTGCGGACTTCTGAGGTACGCTGGACAGTTATTTATTTATTTATTTATGGTTTTTACGAGACAGGGTTTCTCTGTATTGTTTTCGAGGCTGTCGGTCCAGCCCAGCCTCGAACTCACAGCGATCCACCTGCCTCTGCCTCCCGAGTGCTGGGATTAAAGGCGTGCGCCACCACCGCCCGGCACCACTGGATAGTTATGACCCCTGCTTCTGATTGCTGTCATTCATTCACATGCCCATCTTTGGCCACAGAGGTTCCTGGGTGTGGCGGTTTGGGTGAGAAACATCCCCTATACACTTACATATTTGAACACTTGGTCCCCAGTTGGTACCATTGCCTGGGGGAGGTTAAGGAATGTTTAGGATGTGGGTACTTCACTGTGGTGGGGATATTGAAGTGTAGACAATTTATAGCCTCCTCCCACTTTCATTTTATTTTGCTCCTTGTGTGTGGGTGGAGAAGTGACAGATCAGTTTCCTCTCTCGCTACCTGTGGCCACGCCCCTCCCAACATGAGGGATTATTCTACAGGCACCGTAAATCCAAATAAGCTATTCCTTCTCTAAGATGCTTTTTTTTTTTTTTTTTGGTCATGGCATCTTTCTCCCCAAAACAGCAAGGTATCTAATAATACATTAGGAAATATAGGTGGGTGTAGGGGATTGTTGGGCATGTGTATGGGGTTGTTGGGCAACAAGCTACATCTAAAAATGGGGACTTGGTGATAGAAGACTGTTTATGTTAATTAATAGCAAACGGTGGTCCATAGGTCAAATGTGGCCTGCTAGATGGTTTGTCAACAAAGTTTTATTGGTACAAAGCTAAGCTCGTTCATTTATGTATTATCTATGGCTTTTTTTATTGTAACAAATGATATTTGGTCTACGAAGCCTAAATGACTTACTTATTATCTGACACAGCAAAGGTATACTAACTTCTGGAATAGACAAGCAGCAAATTATCCCTTGTGTGTGCAGCCCACGGCCAGGAACTGAGCTTAACACAAAGGTCTCTGAGTGGGAACCCATACCAGACAGTCAAGCAAACGCGGATGATCACACTGTGTGATGAGTAGGACCAGAGTGGCATTCAAGGTTCTATGAGACCACACAGGCAGACTGGGGACAGAAGTTTCCAGATGAGAAGATTCACCCCTCTATAGACTGAGACAGGAGGACTGCTGTATGCTTGAGGCCAGCCTGGGCTACAAAGGGAATGTCAAGCTACACTGGGCTGCAGAATAAGAATCTGTCTCCAAAGAAGCAAAATAAAACAAAGAAACAAAAAACAGTACCACAATTTCAGTTGATTTTGTGTTCATCCCTCTGCATGTTAACCATGAGTGTCCCTCAAAGACGGGGGTGGGGGGTACTTTGGCCTCCCTCAAACGCCACTCTAATGAGGGGAGTGGCAACTTTGTCTCAAGGCTGTCCAAACAGCCAACAACAGTATCTGCTTCACGCCACACCTGTGTTCCTGCTAAACCCACTCCTGAGACCCTCAGCCCACGGGGCCAGGATATGGAGTGGGTGGAGTGGGGGAGCAGGGCGCTGAGGTCTAATTCCAGGCTTCAAAATCAACAGATATAGCCGGGGCTTGGATGAACATTCCCACCCACCCCTTCCTGTCTCTCAGAAGCCTGGTAATGTTGCACAGTCTTTGGCAGCTTCCTTTGTGTCCCTTATCAAAACGAGAAGAGCATCACCAGCCTGCTCATGGGTTCTGCCTCTGCTCGATCAACATCTCAGGCTGGGTGGTGACTTTTTTTCTGGGGATGGTGGGGGGCTCTCCTGTGCACCACAGGGTGTTCGGCACGGGAGGCCTCTGCCTGTTAGATGCCGGAAACGCCACCAGGTCTTGACAACCTAAACTATCTCCATACGTTTTTACGTGCTCCTCAGAGTCGCCTCTGCTTAAGGACCAATGAGCCAGTCAGTGGTAGGGATGAAGCGAGGTGCCGTGCATGTCACTTGCTTATTACACGTTTGTAGAATGTGGTGACTGCCGTCACTGTCTTATTTATGCTCTGAAAACATCTGTCGAAAGATTCTGTGGGCTCCTTGAAGAACAAGACCTTACAGAAATTCTTTCTGTTTTAGCCTGGCAAACACAGCAAAGGGATTTTCAGTCGCTGTAAACAACCTCTTCTGTGAACCCCACCTGTTGTGAACGCACACAATGCTAGGAATGTGGCTTGGGACAGTCTCGAGCAAACTGTGGGGACATCTGCTGTTTGGCTGCCCACTTCCTGCTGCCCGATTTAGCACTGCAGGAATTGCTTACCCTGCCTTCAGCCGAGTGTTCTGCTGACCTCTGTGTTGGATCTGGTGATGAGTCACGGGGACAAGGCCCAAGTCACCTGGGGGGAGTCCCTGTGTCTGGTGACAGTGGCTAGTTAGGGAATGGCAGCAGGGCATGAGCCAAAGCCTACCCAGAAACCCCCTGGGGTTTTCTTTGGTTAATGTAATGATGGAGCTGCAGGTCCCTCTAGGTTTGAATGTGAGGAGTCATAGGATCTGGATTGAGAAGAGAGGTTAGATCTCAGAAGAAGGCCCATGGGTGATGGTCCACAGACCTGAGCCGAGATAGAAACAGGACTCTGATGGTTTTTCTGAACTGCGGCTATGGCTTGAAGCTCAACCTATTCTCCGACCAATCTGCTTTTGTTTTTAAGATAATAGATTCTTTTGTTTGCTTACATAATGTGGGGTATGGGCTAGATTTTCTGTTTTATGAAACCAGAGGCTCCCACCATACACCTGATCCTAATTATATCAAGGAAAACACTTATTGAGGTACAATGGGACATTCCTGTAATCCTAATCCCTGGGAGACAGAAGCAGGAGGATCAAGAATTTGTAGCCACACCCAGCTTCACAGCCAAGTTCCAGGCCAACCTGGGCGGCACGATATCCTATCTCAGACAGATGCTGGTGCCTGTCTAGCTTTATGTCGGTTCTGGGGATCCGAACTCAGGTCTCCATGTTGCACAGCAAGCGCTTTCCTCCCTGAGCCATCTCCTCAACCCTCTTCATGTATTTTAGAAACAGGCCCGGGGGGACTGTAAGATGACTCAGTGGGTGAAAGCGCTTCTGCCAAGCCTCACAACTGGAGTTGGTTGTGCAGCACCCACGCGGCTGGAAGACAGACCCAGCCCCCACAGGTTGTCCTATGGCATGCATTTACTTGCACAATGTGACATGCAACTCCTACCCCTACTAGATAAACATTAAAAAAAAAAAAAGGGCCGGAGAGAGGGCTCAGCGGTTAAGAGCACTGACTGCTCTTGCAGAATAACCAGGTCTGACTCCCATTACTAGCATAGTGACCCAAAATCATCTGTAACCCCAGCTCCAGGATATCCAAAGCTTCCTAGGAACCGCAAACGTGTGAGGCATAGACATACATGTAGGCAAAACAACCTATACACACCAATACTATGTATGCACATATATATATAGTATATCTATATGTATGATGCATATAACATATTACACATATGCACATATTACAAACACACACACACACATATATATATATATATATATATATATATATATATAATTTTTAAAAGGACCTAAGGTTGTGAGATACTTCAGGTGACAACAGAAAACCCATTCCTAGATGGCTAAAGGGATAAAGGGAACTTATCAGCTGTTCTTGAGAATGTCCCAAAGTAACTTGGCCTGAAGCCAGGGCCCTGGCTGCATCTCTCTGTAGCTCTTCTGGACACACTGTCCCCGTTGCGTTGCTTTAGTTCGCCCTTAGGGTGACTTTCCTGGTAGCCAGGCCATGGCCGAGGTTCAGGCCTCCTGAACAGGTGGCACCTAGGATAGATAATCAGAAGCCACTGAACTTGAGTCCCAGCCTTCACCGTGGCCAGACCGGTGCAGATCGCATACTCATGGTAAGAGGAGAATCTTCCTGACTCAAAACCAAAGCCAGAGGCTGGACCTGGGCTTGGGTGACAGTCAGAGTTCCAAGCTGGGACACAGGGGGACCGGTACACTGCAATGCTGGAAACCCCCCCCATAATCAAAATAATATTAAATACTACCAAGGAATATGCCACCATCTAGGGACACCTTTTACTTTCTTGCATTGGATGTCTGAGTTCCTATTGTCTCCTTTAGGATTTTGCTAACATGTGTCCTAGCGGCCAGGTTGCTGCTGTTGTAATGGCTTGTCTGGTAACCATTTCTTCTTCCTAGATAGCAAGAGCATAGAGCAAATCTAATATCTCTAATTTCCATTAATGTAGCCTTACACTCAGGCGTACTCTAGTTGTTATCTAATTGTTGTTTTGAGAGTGTGTCACATAGCTCTGGCTGGCCTTGAACTTGCCGTGTAGACAAGGATGACTTTGAACTCTTGGTCTTCCTGACTCAAACTTGGGTGCTATGTTAGCATTGCAGTATTAAGCCCAGTTCTATATTATTTTTTCAGTCCAATTAGATTTGCATTCTCACAGAGGACAAAGATAAGGAGGGTTTCAAGCGTCACCTGAGGCTCTACCAAGTCTTTCCTCTACTTCCCTCCCAGATGTAGTCAAACTCTGCCCCAACTGCACATAGTCTCAGCGGAGGGAAAGCACCTAGAGCATTGGTTCTCAAGGAGACAATGGGACAGACTCAGCAGACTTCCTAGACGAGGCCTTACCCTCTCTGAGGAGCAGATGGGAGGAGGGTGGGGGCATGTGGGGTGAGCAGGAGGAG